CGGCTCACATCTGTCACATGTCGCTGCCGTGGCAACACCAGCTGCCGTAGTTACCGGAGGCCTGCTTCTGTAGTGTTATGGGATTTGGTTATTGCAGGATAGCAAGCTACCTGTGTTCAGAAATACGTCCCTTTGAGGACAGGCTGCAGAGCAGTAATGCTCCACCATTTGATCTGATAAGTAGACTAATTACAGACAAATTACTGGTTTGGGGTGAACATTAGCGAGTGACTGCGATTACTGTAATTTATTTTATCCTCAACAGTTTTGACCCCATTTGTTTAAAGGCATCTTAAATAGCAGATAGATCTTAAACTTTCAAGTATCTAGTTCACTGATGGTCAGTTGTACTACCAATATCTCATTTATTTATTTTTGTTGGTTGTTCAAAGGATTTGGTAGACAACATTTGGGTTAATACTTTTTAATTCTGCATCTCACTTAAAGATGTTGTTGTTTTGCACAGCTTTGCCTTACATGGAGCTGGAGCTGTTCCTGTTTAGTGGGACATTTACTTCATCTAAGATGAAAGAGGCTTTTAAAGACACAGTCACAAGGCTATTTGTGAATGTTTATGATGGTTAACAAGATAAGACTGTAAAGTGAGACTTGCACAAGGAGGGTTTGGTTGCAAGGGTAAACAGCTAGAGAAATATAAAGAGAAATAATTCATGATTGAAAAACTTTGGCTTTCCAAGTAACAAGTACTAAAGTTGGCCAACATTTTTTTCAACAAAAAGAAAGAAAAGATCTCGGTAATAATAATGTACGTTAGGGCTGAACGATATATCGTGTTATGGCGATAACCGCGATATGCGCATGCGCGATATTCACATCGCAGGGATGTGCGATTTTATTCTTTTTTTTTTTTTAGGACGTGCGATATTAAGTAGGTAAATGAACTCAAACACGTCATGTTACAATTATTTTGCTGCTTGCTACAAAAGGAAAACTTGTGCGGCTCTCATGTCAGGGGTACTTGAGTGAGTGACATGCAGGCTCTGCATGCACAGCAAACCACCAATCACAATCATTCTTGATCAGATCACAGCAGGCCCCGCTAGTTTGCAGACCATCAAAACACCGGTAAAACATTAGCGAGGAACAGGAGGACAATACCGGCGAGAATCTAGACAGACAGATGAATGGGTCTGCTAATACAAACATTTTGAGTACATATAACATGTATATAACCTCAAATACCGCACAGATGAAAGTAATCTCAATAAATCTCAAGTTGCCAGCAAGAGGTCCTCTGGAGTGAATATATTCACAAACATGTCCTTTTTTGGTTTCCTTTTTATGTCTGAAGTCGAACAGTATATGTTTCCCTTTATAAACATACATGGTTTTGCCTTTCAGCTGATCTGAAACAGACCCTCAAACACACACGTGCACACACACACACACACATACATACACATACACACACATACACACACACACACACACGCACACACACGCACACACACACACACACACACACACACACACACACACACACACACACACACCACACACACACACAGTGACCCAGTTTTGACTGAACTGGACCAACCAAAAAATAGATCATCCTGTAGTCATTTATGATTTGGGCGTGGATATAAGGGATGGGTACACATACACAGATAGACGCAAGGATATACACACCAGTAGAGCAAGGACTGAGTTCTTAAGTGAGTACAGCTGTGAAGCCAGATGTGGTTGAGTGTGTGCCCAGTGCGTGTGTGTGCCCAAACCTGAAAAACCTACTCTGCTCTTCTAATCCCTCAACAGAGCACTCTTTTGCACTCTAGCTGACTGAGTAAAAGCAGTAATAAAGTCATGATGGACAATATGATTATAAATGGACTTCAGTTTAATTTGAGGACAACATTTAAAGCCCATTATAAAAACAAAACCACAGATGCTATCTGTTTTAGACTACTCTTCAATGAATTAGATCACTTCTCTATGACATGCAACAGAGAGTAAGCACTGCACAAAAACACTTTGCAACAGCTAATAGTTGTTCATCCAACAAACAAGTTATCATGACATTTAAGCAATGTGACACATTCTGACATAGACACTTGTGTGCATGTGTGTTTGTGCTTGTTAGTGTATTCACGGAAGGCTTTAACAAACTGCCACTAAAACATACCTAATGCCCTACAAGCACAACACACACACACACAGAACTGCAGACATGTTCACAAACAACTAAATATTCAACAGTAGGATCGGTGAAGGTCATCATTATCATATTATTAACAGCCGTCTGTGAGAAAGGGTTTTGTGTGTGTGTGTGTGTGTGGTGTGTGTGTGCGCGTGTGTGTGTGTGTGTGTGTGTGTGCGTGCGTGTGTGGTGTGTGTGTGTGTGTGTGTGTGTGTGTGTGTGTGTGTGTGTGTGTGTGTGTGTGTGTGTGTGTGTGTGTGTGTGTGTGTGTGTGTGTGTGTGTGTGTGTGTGTGTGTGTGTGTGTGTAGTTTGCATGGGTCAAGCATGGACCATCATGTATTCATATCCAGGCACAGAGACAGGTCTACATGGTTCAGAGGCATATTGGGGGGGTGTATTGGATGGTGCATGTGTGTTTTTATTCAGACTGTGAGGGGTCACATATGTCCCAGTGTCCTGTGGGAATGACATGGGGCCTCATGCTGACATCGCAACAGGAAGGGACACACACACACACACATACACACACACACACACACTCAGCTGAAGTGCTGTTCTGGCACATTTGGTGAAGGAGAAGGATTAAAAGGTCACATTGCTTTACCAAGGACATGAGTTCAGCTTTCCCCCCGACACAAAACACCTGCGTAGGTCAGTTGACTCTTGTAGAAAAAGCCTGCATAAGAAAAATTGTGTACTCCCAAATAACATGCAGTGCAGTGCATCGTAATTTGGGGTTCACCTTCACAGTTTTAAATCAACGTGTTTTACCATGTTTCAAGTACCATGAAAGATATATTACTTATTTTTAGTAACACCCTCAATAGTTGCAATGTAATTATATCATCCAAGAAACCATGCAATAACGGACCCTGAATCAGTTGATTTGTAGAAGTCAAGAACAAGATTTAAGGAGGAAATCTTAATCAGATTTACAAAATAACATTAATGATCACAGGTGAGAGGCTTCTGATCAAAATTACTTTGACAATATCCAGTGTGCAGCATATACAATGGAGTCTACATTTCTGTACAAACTACTACTTGCTCAGACCATTTTTTCGTTAAATATTTTGACTTTAAATCTGTCAAGCAGGCTACACAGAGAGGAGGACACTCAAATATATTGTTTTTGCAAAATCAATGAGCCAAAGACAGATACAGTATTTTGGTTTGTGATAACCGCACACTTGTTTTTAAGCCTGCTACCATAGTTTTGTGTATTAGGTGACAATGTCTTTATAAATACAATTACTTAATCTTCAGCTGTGAAAAAACACAATCAACTCTATTAGCATCATTTTGACTTTCATTTCCCACACATACAGTACATGCAGTGCACCATGTACAATCCTGTAACTTACATGCCTTTATTTTTTGCACACTACAATAAATGTCTCCACAAAGGGGAAGCTTTAATCAGCTGGAACTATGAACCCAACCTCGCAAATAACCTTTTGATTAGTGGTCTTCCCACCAATAGTCTCCATTAACCCCACAATTCCTACCGAATTCCAACTGTCATGTTCTTGATCGAATGAGAACCCAGTGTTTCCACTGCTCTGTTTTACTGGCTGTACAGTAAGTCTGTGTGTCCCACTGTAACCCTATATCTGACTCCCATTTGCTAGATGCACTTTATTAACCCCCCGGTGCATAATGCATGCTAATTTGTTACCAATTAACTCTGAGTCTGATGTGTGGCCTTCCTGCAATAAATCCAGTCAACTGCAGCAGGAGAGCATTGAACCCAGAAGCAACTTGATTAAAAATGATACAAAGTCAAAATGCCTGCCATTAGGACTTTTAATATGTTTTTATTTGTGCTTTTTATATGCATAACTACTTGTTTTTTCAACAGCCAAACCAGTGCAAAAACTAAAATGTTCTTAATTGTCTATGATTATTTTGTACTGCCCCAAGTACAATTGCACAGTGCAGTGAAAAGCCAGACTTATTTTATAGTCTCACAAGTTCTTTAGATAATTATTCATAATTCATGAGATATAAATCGGTTCAGGGTTGGCTGGTTATTTAGTATGTGGGAAGCTCAAGAAACAATGTATACACATGTACATATGCACATGATACAACATGTGTATAGTATATGAATTGATAGCATATCATTTATAAACTGACACCACTCTGGAGCTTATGGTATATCAGTTAAGAATCACTGACACTAATGTAATTAAAATGTATTCTATAGATTACCAAAAGAAAAAAAGAAATCACCTGTCAAATCAAATTAGAAAAAGGCTGCAATCTATCTATCTATATGAATTATTATTTTCTCTAACTGGTCAATGTCTTCCAGGAATCTATCATACTAATTCCCCCAAAGGGAGAAAGGCACTAAGGAAAAGAGTAAATGTATTTGAATTTGGTCATATGATCAATCAGGTAAAAGGAGAATTCCAACAAATACAATTTAAATGGTGTTGTCGGTGTCATCTTTTATTTAGATTTTGACACTGTGTCAGTATTTGATTTACAGCTTCAGATAGAATAATTATCGTAAATCCCAAAGGCTGTTCAGTCCCTTCTCTTTTCAACAGCTGGTCAAATGAGGGTTGGACAAATTACAGCATCCTTGTGATTTATGAGAACAATAACTGACTACACAGCAACGCAGTAAGCAAGGGAATGATTAGAGGCCCAGTCTTTCATGAGCGAAGTTCATATGTGCCACTGTCTAAATGCCACAGTAAATAAAGGAACAAGTTGTGCTACTGATACACTACAAACCCACCACAGAAAAGGAAATACAAACACTTCTGCAATTGGACTCACACACACATCCATACACACCACAAGATGAGCAGGCAATCTAGTTTGTACCTTGGTGGAGTAAGGTCCAGGGATGAGCAGTTTGAGAGCTTGTCTTTTTAGCTCTGTCAGCCTTGCGTTGCAGTTCTCACACCATATCCCTCTTTCACTACCAGGGGAACTTCCACTGCCTGAAGCCGGAGATCCTGTCCCAAAACCTGGGGAGCCACCCAGAGAACCAGGCGATTCTGTCCCTATCCCCGGAGAGATGGTCCCTGGGGATCCAGAGAAGGACCCTGGGGAGGAGATTCCTGAGCCTGGGGACGGGGTGCCTGTGGAGCTTGGCATTGATCCGGCCCCCTCTGGAGTGGGCCGTGTCCCGGAGCGGGTGTTTTCCTCGTAGGGCTTACGGTACCATGTGTCCGGGAAAAAGGAGGCAGATTTGGTCGGGGACGTGTCGGGCACCTGTAGGGGAAAAAAAGGAAAACCTCAATTGTAGGCCGTTTTCATGGCAGACATTTTAACATTTCTTCATGAAAAACACAGGTGTAAAAAATAATATTAAAGGGGGATTGTTTTTATGTTAATACTTATATTTTGGGTTTCTACTTAATTGGGTTACATGCTTTAATGTTCAAAAAACACATAATAGGGAGGCGTGTGGCGCAGTGGACTAGTGGACTAGTGCGTTGGTGTTCGGATCAGGGGGGCACAGGTTCAAACCCCACTGCAGTCAGCATGTCGTTGTGTCCCTGCAAGACACTTCACCCCAAATTGCTCCTGTGGGGATTGCCCACAGTATTGAGTATGTAAGTCGCTTTGGATAAAAGCGTCCAACATGTAATGTAATAATTTTTCTAATACTGTCTGTTTAAATATACTTAAATAATGAATCACCCCTTGTCTGAAACGCTCTGTTACAGCGCCTGTCTCTTTAAGCACTGCTCCCCAAAAGCCAGTCTGCTCTGATTGGCTGGCAAACAAATGTGGTACACCTTTGCAAAGGTAGTTCATAAGCCAATATTTTATGAAACAGGGGAGCAACATCTGAAAGGCTTTTTAAATTCCCATTTTTCCTGACCTAAGGAGCAAACAAATGGTGGGCTTTCTTATTTCACAGTTTGTACTTCAAAATGTATATGTACAAGAATGGTGAAAGTCAGTTTTCCATAATATGAACCCTTTAAGTAATACTGGATTCATTCCCCATAGGTTTTCCAATTGTAATGAGCAGCCTATATGGTTTAAATATGCAGCACTCATCCCAGTGAACACACAAGGATGAGAATAACAAATGAGGAGGGGGCCTGGACACGTGTCTTCAATCATGCGATTTAAAAGTCAGGCTATTTATATTTTGCCTGAAAAGCTAAATTTGTGTTCACTATATCCACCTAGCTTTATTCGGTATGCTATTTATTTGGTTGAACTCCAATAATTGTGTCTATATGCTCACAAATTAACATATATCTGAATTCATGAAAGGGAATCAAAGACAAATAAATCTAATTTTTTTTTTTTTTAGCTGACACAGCTTCGATATCATTGAAACTAACAATTGATAAATAGAGAATATCCTGTTTTGGAAATAAGCTTACAAGCTAAACACAGACAGGCGCTCAGTTACATTATCTCATGCCAATAACCCACACACACACAGGCAATTGGCAGTCAATGGGTAGAAACAGGGTCTAAACTAACATTGGGGAATTAAACCAAATTATCAGAAAATCCAAAAATCTTCAAACATTGAGCAATATTATACATGTAGAGTAATGGTGCTACAACCCAGGTCACAGCAGGAAACATATGGGTGCTTCTGTTACCATGCAAATAGGATTAAGTCAGATTCCGTGTGAAGACCTGTGTTATTTTTTCTCTATTCAGACAACCACACGGGAACATCAAATGAGCCGCAAGGAGTTGAAAATTAGATTGTTTGCGGCTGGGTAAATCCAGTCAGAGAGAGCTATTGATGTGGTGGTGGCTGGAGAGATTGCACTATAGCTACTTTAATCCTTCACAAGGGCTATAATAAGCAAGCAATGAGCAGGCTGGTCAGGGGATAGTCACTCATCTCGTAGTGAGGAGGAGGATACAGTGTGAGCCAACCCTATGTTATAAATTAACACTAATTAGTCTGTAGGAGGTATGCAGTGACACAGGTATGAGTGTTATACCTGATTTAGCTGCTTGGCGCTCAGTTAGTGATAATTAAGAGATGTGGGAGATTTATCTCTGAAAAAAGCATTCCTCTGCTGTGACACCATGGCACTGATGTGCATAATTTGATCTTCACACAGCACTCAATCAACAGCATTAGCACAAATATAATGAGCTTTCCTATGAGTTTCATATATGCATTTCAGACTGATAATGTGAGCAAACTACAGTTTCATTTTAAAGTGAGAAGTGAAGTGCATGCAACACTGAATGGATGATAAATTGTTATGTGCACTGGGCTCAGGTAGAGGTGTGTCCACCCCTCGGCTGCTGGAATGAATAACCTACCCCATATTTTCTGCTCCGGCTGCTCACAGACCTCTCCTTGGTCCCCGACAGTGAAGTCATGTTGGAAGTGAGAGAAGAAAGAACCCCTGCTGCTGCTTCACATTCAAAAAAAGACTACCGGATCGATTTCAATTAACCACAAGCCCCTGCAGTTTGCTTTTCTCAATCTGGAGGCAACCTCACGCCACTTCCAAGTGCATGTGGAAATCGGTTACATCCCCATTCCGAAAAAAAAGAAATCCTGGTTGTCTTTTAGTTTCCCCTTTGCAGAAACAATCACTTATACTTAAAACAATATGATAATTCACACAGGTCGTGCGAGAAAGCAGACCGCTCCCTGTCAGCAGAATGTGCTGAATGGACTCTCTGCTCAACAGCGCTCCGGACGGGCTCCGCACTCAGCCCTGCCTCTCTCCATCAGCTCTGCGTCTCAGGCTGCCCAGGTGGAGACGCAGTGCAATTTCCGTGTAATGTCACAATCTCATTAGATCGAGTAAAATCTGACTGCCAGAGTCTAAAGGAATGGTTTGCTGGTGGTTTAGTTGTGACTCTCCGGACCCTCCTGTTGACTTCCCAAGGCTCCGCACTCTGCTGAAGCCAGCAGCGCACTGAGGAGACAGGAGAGGGGCGCACATCTGGATGAGGGCGGGGCCACCGTCCCTCATCATCCACAGGCCAATACTAATTCCAGCTGACTGGCAGGTAGAATGCTGACTGTGAGAGGTGACAAAACTGAATAATTCTTAGATGGAGGTTTGTATTACTGTTGGATGTTGTTAGAGTGTCATGGATGTGCGTTTTACTCAACTTCAACTATATAATTGGGACCCTTTCATTTTTATGTAGCTACAAATAAGGACACTGAATTAGGTTTTATGAATGACTGGTTATTATTATATGTTTGGTGACCCGAGAAGACATTATCATGGGGATCATTTTAGTTCCAGTATTTCTTTATGATTACATTGAAATGACTAAACATCAGAGTTTTGCTTCTCACAGTGTGGAGAAAGAAATGAAATAACAAATACACCTTAATACATTTTCCAGAAAACAAAATGTAACAGTCGACTGACTTATTAAAAAATGTTTAAAGCAAAAGATTAATTTAAGCTTGGACTCAGAGTTTCAAGCATGGTTCTGGACACTTCCTGTTTATTACAATCGGCAAAAAGAAGCCTTTTTGAGATGGAGAAGAATAAAAACAAGTAACAGAGGGCTGGGGGCCTATACAATCAGAATCAGAATCGGTTTTATTACCAAGTAGGTTTACACACACAAGGAATTTGCTTTTATATGGTGCATACAAAGACACAGAAAGAAGAATACGTAGCAAAACAAAATAAAAATAAAATAGGACCGTTATGACATCTATTTAAAAAAAGGTATATAAAGATTATTATAACAAATGAACAATATTTACATGTGACAAATAATACTGTATTTAAAGTGAAGAGCTGTGCTGATTTAAAAAAAAGGTAGTTGGGAAGAAATGTGCAACATTTATAAATTAACAAGGCAATTCATCAGTCAACGTTCAACATGTGCAGACTCTTTAAAACTATTATTTTTTCTTGACCTTTTTAGAAAGGTGACTTGCAATGTCTGTCTGTTTCTGTCAACAACACAGTCAAAATGGCCAACTGGCTGGTTGAAGACTGTTGAAACTGACAAATCAGTAAAAGCAGTAATATTTCTGCATTTCATACTTATGGCTTCTTTTATTGAAGGAGACATTCCTGCATAAGGTCTATTGAGAACCTCTAAAAGAGAGTATTTAATGAGTGGTTACACAGTGCCCTCTGCTGCTTTCATACGGATATTGATATTGATTGAGAAATACAGGCACCCATGCTGAAGCTGAATAGAGGAAGTTATTGTAGTGGCATTTAAAAAATACAAATGTCTGCTTCTGTTGATTTATATGACGTCCAGCGCTCCGTCTTTTAACCTCTTTCCTTTCTCTCTCGACCCTCCTTAGCAACAGTCATTATTGTGCTTAACAGTGGTCTGTACTACTGTCATATTAACATCTGAAAGGTCCCAATTGACCAATCGGAATCGAGTATTCAACTAAACTAAGACGGGAGAATGGCCTTCCTTTACACAGTGTAGAGCAGTGGTTCCCAAACGGTGTGCCGTGAGGCAGAGTCCCGCATCGGGTCGGGTACCCGCGGGTGATTCGCGGGTGATTCGCGGGTGGTATTTTTTCAAACGCTTTTTTCCGGGTTCGGTTCTGGGTAAAACAAAGATGATGCGGGTCGGGTCGCGGGTATTGCATAATAAATATATTAAAATAATAATAATTTAGTTTAATGTTTAAATCCTCAGACCTCTCCCCCGCGGGACCGCGCATAATCATAACCTCTGCAGCGCATCAATCTGCTGCTGTGCGCGCCACATTCGAAATGGCTGAGGTGAAGCTCTCTAGCGGAGAATACAGCATTTTCAATATAACACTTCCTCAAGAGCGAAATCCAACGTCTGGGAGGCTTTTGGTGTCATCCTAGATCAGGGGTGCCCAACCACTGGGAGATTCCCAGTCGATCGCGAGATGTGTCTAAAAATAGAACAACAATATTCAGTTTTATCGTTAATGTCTTATAACATAATCTTCCTGTGCCAGAAAAATGTACATGAACGCATCAAAGCTTTGTGATTGGCCGGCGTGACCCCATGTGTCGGGGCGTGGCTAGTGGGCAGTGCACTAATTCGCTAACGTTGTCGTCAACAGGAGTGACAGTCCGCACACAAACAAGACCGCAATTATGGCATAAGCAAAACATATATAATTGTCTCTCCGAGTGGGAGGATGATTATTTTTGTATTTATTCCAATTCAAAGTCCATCTGCAATAAGAGCGTAGCTTTATCGAAGAAGAGTAATTTCGGAGCGGCATTTCAAAACAGTGCACAAACGCTACGAGACGGAATTCCCTCCTAATTCTGCCCTACGCTCCCAAAAGGGGAGGGGCCTGGAAGGACAGCTAAATGCACAGCAGTCCATTTTCACCAGGCACAACAACAAGAGCAAGGCTGCTACCAGAGCATCTTATCGTGTCAGTCACGTTCTTGCGAAACACATGAAGTCTTTCAAAGACGGCGAAGTTGTGAAAGAAGCATTCCTGGCTGCCAATGCGCTTTTGGGGGACAATAAAAAACAGTAGCATTTCAACAGGTTTTTGATAAAAACTCAAGTTAGATACCGTTATTAATCAGCTGTACGTTTTAGTTTGTTTGAACTTATTCATTATAATTATTGTACAAAATGGTGTAAGAATGCAAACTTAAATTGATTATAGTCTATTATCAATTCAGGTTAAGAAACTAGTGTTGCTTGCATCCTATTAAAAGCATTTCTTTTTATAATCTACTAAAATGCAACAAAAAAATTGTTTGATTTGATTAATTTTATCTTTTTTATTGCACTTTGGCAGCAGATTCCTGTGTAACTTTAGATCTGAGTTGTCTTATTAGTAAGCCTAATTTATACTTTTGTAGCAACACTATTTTTATATAATGGCAAAGAAAGGGTTCAGAGACTTTTCTTTTTTTCCTGTGTCATATGTGGCAGCACTGTTCAATGTTTCTTGAAAACATTACCCACTGTAGTATGTGACGTGTGAATAAACACCAACTCTGTATCAACAACACTGTTGTGTAACTTCAGTTAAATAATTGTATGTGTGTAGATTAGAAAGAGGTAAAATAAAGGATCTGCAGTATTTTATGGAGTATTAATCGTACGAAGTTCAGTTTTATACAAGTAGAAGTGTGTATTTACCTGGTAGTAGGCTGTCAGTAATGGCTACGCCTCTCTATTTGGACTGGTAGATCTCGGCAGACTGGCAACTTTAAAAGTAGCTCTCGGTTCAAAAAAGGTCCTAGATGGAGAAAATAACCAACATCCCACGCTTTTTGAGACAAATATGCAACTGCGTGTGTTAATAATTGCACGTTTTCACTGCTCATATAGGCTATAGGCTATGCGGGTTCGGGTCGGGTTGCGGATCTTGTGCTGACAGGTCGGGTCGGGTTGCGGAACTAATTGGCAATATGTGCGGGTAGCGGGGCGGGTTCGGTATTGCACGTCGCAGTCTGAAGTAGGCCTACTTGTTTCATTGGAGTTGTTTACTCACAGAAAATGTGGGGCCAGAGGCCTGTACTACGAAGCAGGATTTGGGGTTAACTCTGAGTTTTGGGTCCTAAAACGGTTCACTTCTTACCGGGGTATATCGCTATGGTTACTTATACTGAAAACATAACCGCTCCGGAGCAGGTTAGATTCGAGACAAGAGATCAACTGTCACTGTTCTTTCTACACTTTGCAGCTGCAACTATGTTGCCTTGGCTTTATCAAGGCCGTAACCATGGAGTCAACATTGCGGGGGACCAAAAATGCAATCAAAATTTGAGTACTAATTTCCTGCTATTCTAAAGGAAAATATATAAAAATTCATTAACACATGGGATACTTTAAAACCTGTCAATTCCCACACGAAACTGTGTCTCAGGCATGGGCGTGTATGGAAGCATCCTCAATGTGGGTGGGATAATTTGACGGGGGGTGTGGGCAATTGGTGGACCTAACCTCCTCTAGGGCGATCCAGGGGCATGCTCCCCCGGGAAGATTTTTTTTTAAATGTTGAAGTTAAATGCATCAATCTGGTGCACTTCAAGAGCAAAATTAGGGACTAAATCTATAGATACATCTCTCAACACCCATATGAAACAGAACTCTAAACAGATTTACTTTTTCTTTATGCATATTTTACCAATCACTCCCCTAGCTACTATTCCTGAAAAGTTCGGTTTTAACATCAGAACTACAAGTTATTTACACCAAGAAGCTAAACCGGAGGGTTCATTAACATTACCATTACGAAATAAAATAATATAGATTACTTTAGGGCTAACTAGAAAAAGATACCAGAACTGATGGAGGGCAAATTAAAACATGACTGACCTGCTTGGAGCATCAATGCTAACTGAAGCTGGACTCTGACGTGCGACAGCGAAATACACCCCCCGGGGTATAAAATAAAGGTATGCATAAACAAACAAAGGCGGAACCAATTTACATATGAAAAGAATATATCATTTTGGTGAAGTTCACAACAACAGAAAATAAAGATTTTCAAGTATACAAATAGCCAAAATAAAAAAGTCATAGAATAGCAATTTCTTTTTAACTTTTTTATATCAGTTAGGCTATATATTGGGGGGGGGGGGGGGGGGGACATTTTGAGCATATCTGAATATTGGGGATGTCCCCCCCCCCAATGTATATGGTGAATTCGGCCCTGGCCTTTATCCTGGATTAAGTGTTGATGTCATGGTTGTTTAACGTTTATCTTCTTCATATTTGATAGTTTACTTTTCATTCATGAAGTATGACGCTGCGCCGTCAGGTTACTTTTCCAGGTTTGTGATTGGTCAAATATTATTATATATATTATTATAATATTGCCCCTTTCATGTTATAACGTTGTAGGACCGTATACAAGATCTCGTTTGTTAGGGTTAGTTAAGCCAGATCACTCAAAGATATCCGTATGTTGAACTGGCTTCAGATTAGCTGAATGACCA